AAAAAAAATTAATTTAAATGGATTTTTTTAAAATTAATGGTATTAATAATTACTAGTGATAAATTCAGGTATTTTGTATGATTATAACTTTATGCCAATATTTAATTTTTTAAATTTAAATGTTTATTATTTTTTATTATTAAATAATTTTTTAATATGAAAACAAATGTTCTTTATAGGACCATCATAGTCCTTTAATAATGTGAGAACAATCAATAATGTAATGTGAGAACAATAATGTCCTCCCATGGTGAAGACCATCATGGTCCGTAATGTGAGGACAATAATGCCATCATGGTCCTCCAATAATGCGTGGACAATAATGTCTCTATGGTGAGGACCATCATGGTCCTCCAATAATGCGCGGACAATAATGTCCTCCATGGTGAGGACCACCATGGTCCTACAAAGTGAGGACAATAATGTCCTCCATAATGAGGACTAACATGGTCTATCATCCTCAATATGAGAATGATAATGTCCATGATGGTGAGGTCCAGTATGGTCCGTTATTATGGACAATAATATCCTTACTTTTAGACCAATCAGAGCCCGTGGGATGTATATGCCCATGGGTAGTTTATAAGCTAGGATCTGTTGCACAAAACTCCAGCTTATAAACTATGTCGATCATTTGGCTGGGGTGCAATAATTTTGAACGAATCTTTTTTTGTTGAAATTTATGCACCGCTTAATTTTGTAAAAATTGTGGAACAAACCAAATCGTGAAACAAACCAAAATTGTGAAACCAAGATTGCGAACCAATCAAAATTGCGAAACTAAATTGTGAAACCAAATTGTGGAACCAAATTATGAAACCAACCAACATTTAGCATAAATACGAATTATTTATGATCAAGAATTTTTATTAGCTTTTCAATTCTATTTATTGTTATTACTAGGGATGGCAACGGTCGGTCAAACGGTCAGTCAGAGGTCTTTGACCGACCGATATCGGTCACGGTCATGACCGGTCATAACCGGTTAATGACCGTGACCGTTGCCATCCTAGTTATTACACATCATAAGTATAATCAAATAAAATTGTTTCAACTTAATCACATGACTAATATACAGTATGTTACACCTATGTAGTATCAATACAATAGAATCCCATTCAAAATATTTCCTGGTTTGTTATAATATGTTATAGATGTACAAAGAAATATTTTCAAATAGATTATAAGATTATGTGTCGCATTTTTTATTTTGGATCGTCATATTTGTTTTTTTTAATTAACGTTTTAATTTTATTTTTTTAAAACAAGAAACAATTAAACGCTTCTTAATAAGAAACAACAGCAGAATACGTTAAGAGAAAAAAAAAAAAACTTCTCATATTGTATAATCTCGAAGTATATAACGTCAAATACATTGATTAATTATATCAGATAGCTTAAAACTTCTAAAATATTATTTTTCTCAGATTTTACTCTATTAATTTTAACATCACCTGAAAATAATCCTAAATAATAAATAAATTCTGTGTTTGTTTACAAAATATACTAAATCGTAGTAGTTGCCCAATTCATATGCCCTACAAAAAATCGCATACATTTTATTAATATTGCACAGCTTTACCATTTGTATTACCTTTGAAAATATTACAATGAATGTCAACTGTGTTTTTGTAGCTTTTATTATTTAAATTGTGGAAGGGGCAACTTAACAAAATGATTTCACAGACGTATTGTTATGCATGAAACCTACGCCCCTCATAAAATAATTTGTTAAACCATAGTGTTACAACTGTTACATTCATATTCAAATGCATTATTATGCATAAATTGTAGCACATCAATCATTATAGTTATAAACAAATTTCCATTCGAAAAGACTTTTGAAAAAATGTTTTCCCAAAATAAAGATATTTATTCAGAATATATAAAAAACAAAATTCCAGATTGGTTAAGTGGAAATAAAAAAGTCGATGATTTTATTCTAGAAAGACTATCAAATATTAATTCCCATGATGATGTAGTATTTGAATGGATACCATACAATCAGTTTAACAAAATTAAAGAAACAGGCAAAAATGGTTCTATAACTGTATATTCAGCAATATGGAGGAATGGCCCATTACACAAGAAA